GGTACATTTCAACTTCTGCGAAAACCTGCCACCTAACAGGTTGAGATCATTTTAACAATTTGTATTTTAGGTAGGGTTGAAAACTTAATAAAAAGTAAAACCCAGTTAAAAAACGCTTCACCTAGCTTTTTCCAATAGTTTCCAATTGTTCATAGAAACTATATCAAACCCACACACTTAAAATGCCCCTATTAACATATCATCAATATTCATATATGCTTCCAAAGTGCATGACCTTTTACCACTATCCAACATAAGTGTCATTAAAGATTTAAAAAACAAACACACACAGAGTATTCTCTTTCAGGAAAGGCAAATCATTGTAGGCTCTGTTGCTAATACCTAACCCCCCAAAAATATCCTTGGTAATAACAGTTTTCCAACCATCCTATTTCAGGCTTCCAATATCCTGTTTAACACCCTCTATTTCAAAGAACAACCAGCATTTACTACCTCCTTCCTTTCGCAAAGGGCCAAAAAACATATATTTTATCTAAACCTCAATATTCCCTTCTAATTGCAAACTCAACAGAAGTACCATAAGCACTATTCCACAGGACATTTAGGGTTTTTTACTAAACTCTGAAAGATAAAATCCCTTTTTATGTCGATCTCTTTAGATATTTCCTATTTAAAGAAGAAAGGGTCAGAAGGAGGATTTTAATGACCTGATGGGCTTCTCAAAGGCTATTAGAATGTGACTGATCCTTTCTGTATCTTAGGTAAACAGCATAATGGATCTACTACCTGAAACACAAACTGGTGGCAGGCCTCTTGGAAGAATGAAACAGATTCGTGATTGCTATAACCTGAGGAAAACTAACGGCTCTTCAAATCCCTGGAGGAGAAAGCACTATGTGCTTAGATCAAGGAAGAAAATCAAACCTTTTGTTTGTTTACGTCCTTGTATACATGTTCATAAAGTATTTTATTAACAATATATCCAAGCCATATTTACTGAAATGATTATTGTTCCTGTCAATTTACTTATCTTTACAATTCAAAGAATGTTTTCATGCTACTAAGAATGTTTTTCCCACTACTTTTAGCTTAATTATCCAAAAGTGCCCACTTCTTCTATGGAAGCTTAAGGCTACCAGGTAAAATTCAAATGTCATCTTATAATAAAAGAAAATGGTTTTTTTTTTTTTTAAAGATTTTATTTATTTATTGACAGAGAGATAGAGAGAGAGCACAAGTAGGCAGAGAGGCAGGCAGAGGGAGAGGGAGAAGCAGACTCTCCACTGAGCAGGGAGCCCGAAACGGGGCTCAATCCCAGGACCCCGGGGTCATGATCTGAGCCGAAGGCAGCCGCTTAACCCACTGAGCCACCCAGGCGCCCCAAGAAAATGGTTTTGACAAAAACCCCATCCTGCTAATACAGATGGTGCACTCACATAATCCTTCAGTATCGGTAGCGTTGCAGAACATAGGCTGTCTATGCTATCAAGTCAATACCTTGGGAAAAAACCCCTTCAGCAAGGAAAAGAAAATTCTGATACTAGAGGAAGAACGTGTTTAAAAGTTTTTACATAAAATCTACTAGGAAAATACTTGCTGAATAAGACATAATAAATATTCCGAAAAGATCCTCGTCTATTAATAGGGGAGTCAAGACAGCTATAAAAATAAACGTAATAAAAAGATCAACAGTGATAGCACAAGCAATGAAAATATATCAAAAGACCCAACAAAAAAAGGTATATTAAATAATATTTGGGGAGTTATCTTAAAATAGAAATTGAGATATACTCAATGTTTTTAAGATAAAGAGTTAATAAGTTATAGCCCTTTTTTTTGGCCCTCCACAGTGTATTTTGCTTATTAAATGCTGGCTTCATTTCATATCAATAATAGAAGTAGAAAAAAATGCAGAATGTGCTTGAATTTTAAGTGATACTATTCCCAGGAGAGAGAGTTCTTCAAGCTACTTTTAATATCTGCTATATGCTAAGATTTGCTAAAAATGGTAATATCAAGAGTATGTAAGCTAATGTATCTCAATGGGGGAAAAGCTGTATGATTAAGAGGTACAGCAATAAGTGGACATTATTAAGAAAGATCTGTTCTAAGCTTAGATTGGAGTGAATTAAGTGACAAGTAAATATCACTGGTCATGGCCCCAAGACAACAAGAGGACAAATATTAATTTATCAGTTATTTGCTTTACTGTGGATGATCTGAAGATCTAAGTCAGCTGGAACGTAACTGCTTTAGCTACTGAAGATCACCAAGAATTTAATGACATGCAAATACAGAGAGACACCAGTTCAAACAACGGTGAGTGGACAACTTACTGAGAATTCAAATTATATATCTAGCATAAAGACATTGGAAATATCTTGATTTCTTGTAATAGAAATTTAACCATGTAACAAACATGCTAAAGAAAATATCACATGTGTAGAAAATATTACAAAATCTATCTCAATATAATCAAAAAGATTAAGAAATAACTAGAGAAGCTTCCTTCTTCATAGTCACATACACAATAAATAAAGACTTAATAATCATACATTAGGATCACTATACCACATTTTTTCAAAGGTAAAGGTAACACCCACAATTTCCTTAGTTCCAAATTACAAACCAGAGGTTGCAAATATGATGGATTGTCTTTAGCTTTAAGTAAAAAGACAAAATTTGTATCATTGACACTTGAATAAAAAACGCAGCATAAATCTACCAACTACCCAATAGGAAATTCAGATATAATACAGTTCCACGATACCTACAGTATAAATTAACCAAGTTGGAGAACTAAAATATTTAATAGGAGTAACACTAAAAACATTGATATTAGAGCCAAGTAGAATACCAACAAATTTCCCCCCCAAATTGCGATTACCTTAATTGTATATAACAACATACTGAGGCAGCATCCACATAGCTAAAAATATATCAGTAAACCCTGTACAGAAACGTTTTACACAAATGAAGCCTGTTGAAGGAAAAGTGTCTTGCTAAAATTCCCATTTAAATAAAGCCAATTTTCACCTTCACAGATTAGCAGCAGGGGCAGGGGGTGCGTTAGGTACACTAGCTGATCTGTGGTTTGTTCTTTATCCAGTAACTGATACGTCCATATACTCACCCCAAAACCTGGAAATTTGGCTCTCTAAAAGAATACTGAAATGTCACTGAGTCAATCGGCATCTTATTTACCTGCGAGAGTTACAAAAACAGAAAGAAAAATACCAACTGGGGCGTTTCTTTTTTTTTTTATTAGCTCTTAAGAAAATTTATGTGTTGCACAACCTTAGATCCTCTTGGGAATTAGGCACGGTAAGGGTTAAGGAAGAAAGCAATCCATTATATGTATACTAACTGAACAATTCAGAAAAACTTGAACTACTGATGAATATATCGGTTCGCTTCCTAAAATGCTTTTAGCCTGCTTTTCAATAATCAACTTAAGAAGCGCCATCCCAGAGCAGAACTCTTCAGCTTCCTGGGGCAACTGCACTTCACTCCTTCCCTAACAACTGTGCTGTGGAGCTAGCTGAATCTCAAGCACCCATTTCAGTGCAGAGCCATGAAAAGAAGCGTAGCCTGGTGAAGTTCAAGGGCATATGAGGAAAGCACCACGCCACAGATTTTTCTTAGAGCTACATAAAAAAATCTATCAATTTATAACAAATGTTCCAACATGTGTAGCAGTACGCTTCGTCAGCCAAAGGCACGCCTGCAAAGCCGGGTTTCTCTAAAAACAACAAAATTCTGGTGTCCCTTTACATTTCCTAAAACCACAAGCCAATTTCCAAGTATGCAGCAAATGTTACATTTATCGACAGTGCTCACCTGCACACGCGCACACACAAACTACACGCTTACCAAGCTGTGAATCATCCACTGAAGAAAGAAGTGTAGAGCACAAAACGCAGACTCTATCACCTCTTTCATTCCTTCAAAAACCAAATAACTAGACAATAAATACTCCAAGGTGACTACAAAATGACCACAATAAATTTCACCCACCACAGAAATAAAAGCTAAAAAACCAGGATGTCAAAAACATGTGCATCAGCTTCGAAGATACTATACACCCTGTAACCATGACTTACCTTCTTCTCTAAGGCTACACGTAACTTAAAAATGGGTACGCTATGCATGCCAAACGTCATGTAGAACATTCATTACGCAGGCTGGTTCTCAAATGCTTAGCAGTAATATAATAAATCTTAATGTAAAATATTTGAAACTCAAATTAAAATCATGACTAGCCCGAACTCCCATCTTAAATGAAACTTAATAAAGATTAAGGAATAATAATAATTTTTCAAATCACAGTATTTTACCCAGAACATAAATATAAAAATTTATTTGCACAGATGTATTCTTTTAGTTTATAAGGAAAAACCTCATTTAAATTAGGCTGCTCATTAAAAAAACAGATGAACTATTTATGGGCCTCAACATGATTCCCTAGAATGTAGCCACTACTCTAATCAATATATACCCCAATCACCACACAGTATTTGCTGGTGGAAATACTTATAAGCTGCTTTTGTCAAATTTAAAGGAAAATACTTTCTTTTAGGTAGAAATGGATTGGGTGATTTCTCATTACATAAAGTCCCAGAAGATAGTCAAACTACCACCGGATGCTTTTATCTCATTCATCGCTGATATCCTTTGCCAAGTGGTAATTTCTTTACGTTTAACTCTTATATCGGACACCATTGTTCTGTATCACTACCAGAAAGCAACAGGGTAAGCAAAGAACAACTGTACAACAGAAACACCTTTCTGCCACAAAACTCATCCGCTGAATAAACCTTCCAACTGGACTAAGAGATACCTACAAATGAAAGAGACTTATCCAAGACCACACAGCTCTTGAGAAGACAGCCCTAAAAAAATTAATAAATCACAAATATATCTGAAATCTAGAAACTTCTCCCCCAAGTCTTAATATAAAGTAGAACAAACAAAAACAAGAGCTCTTTTAAAAAAATTTTAACTCATTACATTTCCAAATCAGCACATTAATGTCTTACTGGTAAACTTGATGGTCTTTCTTGTTGTATTAAGTTCAAGTCTTCATGGTTAGGTTTTCCAGGAGCCAAAGGAGGTTGAGACCTAGTTCCATAGCCTTCCTGAGACATGTCCTAAACAAACACAAATATAAAGCACTTCATAAATATCTCAATGAGTTGTAACCAAAACAAAGCAAGGCTTATCACAAACTATCAACTGATATTACATATAAGCAGACATATAAATATGTTATAGCTATCATTTAACACTTTATCGAAAGTAGAAACAAAAGACAAAGCAGTGAATCATCAAGAGCAAAAACATGTATCTTTTTATTTTAAATATATATATATATATGTATATACACACACACACACCTAAATTTATTATGAGACCATACAAACTAAACACCATATTTGAGTTTTGCAGGAAGGTTAACCGTCAGTGAAAGATGGGGAAGGAGGTCAGCTATGATCTAACTCTCTTTTAAACCAGAGCAAACCAAAAGCTCATGTTATTGCTTAATTCTGATTTTGGTTGAGCTGCCTTTAATATTACCTTGAAAATGTTAAAATAATTAATGAAAACTTTATTAACAACTGACTTTTAGTATGTCCTCTCGATAACCCACAAAACAACATAGTTATTAAGCTCAGAGTATCCTGGGGTTTCTACAAAACCAATAAACCTTCATGTATAGAATTCCATATGTTCACGTGGCATAGTTTCCAGAGAACCACAATAAAGAATAAAACAGCAGTAGGGAAACAAAACACACCCAAAAAACCTGCTGAGGTATGAGAAACTTATCATTAACATGGCCTTTCTGGCATCCTGTTGAACACTTTTCCAGGAGGTATTCTGCATGGTTTCAGTATTATGCTGAAATACTATTATATAAACCAAATACCACACCACACCAAACTTACTATATACCCAATCTCTAGCTGTTTAACTATGTACGCTCAGCTACTAAACATTCTACCACCATTTACACCCAAAGTCAAACAGCAGGACAGAATATAAAATACTTATTATAGCATGTCTTAATTGGCACTGAAAGTTGAAGAACCAGTTTCTGAGTGGAGAGAAAAAAAGAATAGAAAATATCACTTAAAAACAAAATTCTCTCCGTTTCCCTTGCCAGCGTTTAAAGTATTAAAGAAACACTACATACAGGTTCTACTTCTCCTGTTAAATTCTCAAAATATTACTTTAAAAATTAATGTTTATTAGTTGAAGCCCTATAAAAAGCTTCCACTGCCCCACCCCTTTCTCACACAGTATACACTTAAAATTACATGGCTTCTTAAGCCAAGAAACTTTGGACCAATAGCTAGTACTACAAAATACACAAACTGCACAAACTAGATTTAACTAGCCAAGTGCTGGTTTTAAACAGGCTCTGTAATAAAGGGCATGCCAACAACACAGCATTTCCCAAGCAACCCTTCTACCCTTTAAATAAAGCTACACACACACACACACACACACACACACACACACACACACAGAGTTCATCAAAATATCTAACCTCTAAAAGGAATGCATAATGCCTAGTCAGTACTATGCTTTTTTAAGAGAGTTAAAGCCCAGTTGTCCAGGTTTTAATCTGGTAACAGTTAGGTGAGGCCTCAGTGAGCACATGCAATCCAGGACACCCAAAAGGGTAGCGCTTCAATCTGGCTGCCAGCAGAGGATAACAATTAGGCTGTGGGGGACAAAAGCCGAGGCTGAAAGATTATTATCACTCTCACTGCCCCCCTGCCCTGAGCACCATAGCTTCCGGATCCCAGACCTCCACTTGTCACACAGACTTCCTGCTGGGTGCCCTGCAGGTTCCTTTAGATTAACAGTGAGGATTTCAAATCAAGTAGGGCACAAGGCCTCCATTCAGGGCCTTCACCCTGGTACAAAAAAAACAAAAAACAACAACCCACAAAGGTGCTGGACAGTCTCACAATGGGCAAACAAATGAGCAGACCCCTGCTAGTTCCTCAAATACACGCGTGTGCGCACACAGAGTTTATGGGCAGTGCTCAGACACTTTTTTTTTTTAGTAAGCGTCGGTTAAGAAACAGGAACAGACTCACATGCCCTCTGCTTATTAGCCTTTTAAATGTTTTTTATTTTCTCTTTGTAGCTAAATGAACTGATTTTTAAAAGAGCTGAAAGAGACCATTACAACTATAATGAATACACATTTCAATTTAGATACTGTCCCCTCTAAAATAAGCAACACTGAACTAATAGACTATGAAAGCTATCAGAAAATTTTACTATGGCTTTACATTTCACGTTTTAAGGCTTTAAAAGTTCAAAATAATTAGACTCTACCAAAGTCTCCAACACTATTCCTAACCACAAGAGGTTTTCAATTATTAAATTCAGTTGGAAATAAAACTGAAACAAAATTTAGTGAGAATTGCTGAAACGAGAACTTCTTCTAGCCTCAATTTATGTTGAAACATAAGGATTAATTTAACTGAGAAAACATCCAGAAAAGGTACTAAGTTTTAACCTAACACAATCATCATCCATATATAATTCACATGGGGGCTATAAAGTCTACATCTGGAAGCTTTAAGAGAGATAGAAAGCTTATATTCTATAACTAACCGGAGCTTTTCCCCCCCTTCAGATCTATATTTATTTTCTAGTATGTACTTATTCTCACCTCAAGAAGAGTAGTAGTAATGAGTAATTTAATAGACAGTAAGAATGCAATGTCAGTCTCAGAAAACAAAGAGTATGTTCAGCATCACATTTTATAGACAAGTGACAAGGCACAGCCTTACATTCTTAACACATCGTTGCCATCTTTGGTTATTTGCAAGTTGCAACTAGTGTGCACTGGTGGGTATACCCGTTTACACGCACAGGATCACTGCACTCGGCCACTGTACATACACAAAGCCGTGGCTATTTAAGAGAGACTCTCAGCGTGATAATTCTGCAATACAAAAGAACCACAAGTGGGGAATGTGGTTTACCCCTTCTCAGTTCTTTATCAATATTAGTTTTCTTCATCTCACCCACAGACTTTGAACCATTGATGGAGTCTGGTTTTAACCTTCTTTACGTTATGAGTCAAAGGTAAAGGGCGACTGACTCAGAAAACAACAAAGGTGTGAAAAGAGCTCGGGGTAGGGGCATGTACACATCGGCTTCAGAAGTTTTCACCTAGGTGTTTCTTTTAGCAGACATGGCATTCGTCTACTGAACGCCCAGTACAGAGCCCTCCTTTTGCTGGGCGCTTCACATCCCACAGCGCGGAGCCTGAGCCGGAAACACTTGTGTCCCACTCGTATCGTAAGGTAGGGTCAGACCAAAACTGTCCCGCGGGTCTACTGTCAAGGCCTAGAGCCCAAGTGCTTCTGTTTTACGATGAAGTGAATTAAGTACTAATGGCAACACCAGACTCTAAAGAAAATGTAGAATAAAACGTCAAGGACACTTTTTAAGAAAAAATAAAAAGGGAAGATATTCCCATGGTGTGAGTTCGAAAGATACGAAGCGATAAGCACTGAAGAGAGCGGCCACCTCCTTCCCAGGATGCCGTCCAGAAGGACTGCTGTGCGCAAGCTGTTACTTCTCCTGCCACAACTGCGCAGGGCGTCGCCAAGCACAAACGTGAATTCAAATCCTTTCTCCTTTAAACCCAGTGGGGCATATTTCCTGTACACAGAGTATTTTTTTGGTCCCTTAACAATGTATTGTGGAGCTCAGTCCATACCTGCACCTGAGAATCTATTCTTTTCTTAACGCTACATAGTACTGCATTATTGTCAGTACTCTGACTTATTTAACCAGTCCCCTCCTGATGGACATTTAGGTTGTTCCCAGTCTTTCCCTACCTCATGCAGCACCATAATAAAATCCGTGTGCAGTCGCCTTCATGTGATATTTCTCTGGAGCATAAATCTCCACAAGGAGAATTTCTGCCAAAGGGTTGATACGTGTAAAATTTTGACGGAGTCTAGCAAAGTGCCCTTAACAAGTCTATACTCAAGTCCATCATTTTGGAATAGAATGAAGCTTCACTAAAAGTTTACCTTAGCATCTCAATATGCCTAACTGCATTATAAAAAGCAGGAAATCCAGAGTAGGCGGGGTGGGAGGAGGGTTGGTAGTCAGTAACAAAAAGGAAAACAACACACAGACTACAAACCAAAGGAAGACAGGGAGCAGATGCGGTGAAGAGCACCTCAGTCCAAGACTCACAAACGGTACTGAGGGGCCGGGGAGGGTGAAGTCCAGAAGCCAGTAAAACACCATTTAGAACACACGGTGATTTTCAGGTTACTTAAGAAAAGTTTTTCCAATAATCACATGAAGTACAGATGTGCTACAAAGAATACACTTACTACTCTTGTAATGAATGATGAGGACCTGAATGGCCTCATAACATCCTTCAATATCTAGGTCAGAATAAACATCTTGCTCCTTTTTTCTCCCTGCTTTGGAAACTCCTGTCATCAGTTCCAACGACTGACGGGGAAAAGAAGTGGTCCTGGTACATAAGACACTGTAGTGGGACGGGGAAGGATGGCGTCACCGCCACAGAGAAAATGCCCCAAGGCCACGCGGGGTTGCTGGTCATGTAAAATCATTACTCTGATCAAGAAACTTAGCATGCTACGGACCTCCCCAGCTTTAGTTTGTAGATAAATAAATGTAAACTATCCTTTCCAAAAGGAAAGCAATATAAATCTATAAAATATTCAGAATGGCACAATCACTTCCTTGCCTTCTCAGGAATGCCCTAACGGAAATGTTATTAACGAAGACAGCTGACATTTGCAGGCAGGGCTCTGTGATGCACCCCATGCACGGTCCACCTTTACCATAGTCCCGTGACGTAGTCCCTGGCACCATCTTGCTAAATTTTACCACGAGGAAGCAAAAGCTTAAATGACATGCGCGGCTAATGTCTAAGTACTGCTAGTATCTCAGTGTGATGGGCAAATCTTCAATTCTATCCTAGCTACTCTGGAGACCACCGGAAGCCTCAAACACTATTACATAACAAGGATATAATGTAATTATAACTTTTAAAAGGTATTCCCCTATTCTTCCATATATTCTCCTAAATTCCCCTTTCAGAAATTATGAATCTTGCATATTTTAT